CTATATCATAACATTAATAAAAAATCATTAAAGTACTTACTTTGATGCCTTGTACCTCTTTCTAATAACAAAACACACACGTTAGTAACTTCAAGGAAAATAATAATCAAACAATTAAATTAAATAATTGAAAGAGAGATTTGGGACCAAACCCTCAAAAATTAAAACCTTTCACGTCTAAGGCGAAGGCCACTTCGAATATGGCTAGGTGTATCTAAGTCTTGCGAATGCGGAATTTTGTATTTTGAGAAAAGCTAGTTTAGAAAAGAGAGAGAGAGAGGGAAATCAAGAGATTCTTGATGAGAGTTGGTGAAAATAGAGAGAATCGATGATTGTAGGCGCTTGTGGATGAAAACTGGTTATCGAAAACGGAGTTTTTAATACGTCATTTATAGAAAAATCAGCCAAAAAGATAAAATATCAAAACAGAGTTCTGGCGCACATAAAACGATGTTGGCGCCAACGCTGGCTATTGGCGCCAGACGCCAACATTAGCGTCAGGCGCTAATGCTAGCGCCAGGCGCCAAGCAGCTGGCGTTTTTTCGCTGATCTAGAAATTCACGCGTTTTCTTAAAATCAGATAGAAATTGCCGTACAGGAGGATAAAATCGTATCTTTCTCAAAAATGCTCTTTGATTTTAATTAAAACTCTGAAAAGTCAACAAAAGTCAATTTATCAATGCTAATTGAATTAGGAATGAAAAGAACCTTCTAGAAGAATCTAGAAGACTAAAACCATTCCTAATTGCATTAGGAATGATAAATCTATACTAGGCCCTCCCCTAGATCATTGGGCCGCATATAAGGCTCAAACCGGGCCCAATTTAGTAAATTGGCCATAACTTCCTCAATATTCATCGAAATTGGGCTTATAATATATCGTTGGAAAGCACTTGTCAAGCCCCATCCAACTACACTACTATTGGACCCATATCATGGACCAACCAAACTGGATTGGCTGTTTTCTTAAAATAAGTTTTCAAAAACAGAGAGAAGAGAAAAGAAATTAAAACTATCCGCAACACTAAACTTTCCACACTTTCACTTCATTCGATTATGATTCGACGTGAAAGGTACTCATCACTGGGTTTGGTTTTGGGGAGACACAAATGGTTGTCTACACCTAGGTTCTTGATTTATAAATTATTTAAGGGTTATGATGTATAATGGTTTAGACCATTGATTAAAGTGTTTTAAGGCTTAATTACAGCAAGTTTTAATTAAAATATAGTGCTGGAATTTTTAGTAGAGCATTTAAAATCAATTTTCTTCATGGAATTTAATTAGCCATTAATTGGGATTAAAGTATGATGTTTTAAATATAATTTAAGCTTATTTTAATTAAATTATGAGGGGTTTCATAATAGTATATATTGTTGGAAATTTGTGTAGAGAGGATTTTAATAATCTTCTATGATTTTAAATTGTAGGAGACTTCGAAGTGGGCGATTTTAATTAAGATCGTATACAAGGTACGTTCGCGTACTTAGCATAATTGTATTGATGTAGTAGCATGCTAAATGTGTTTGATTGATTACAAGTAGTATCATGCTAGGTTTGGATTGGAAATTATGATTTGGATATTATTGGTGATTGGATTATGAAGCATGATTTATTTGTCATGGATTATTGAATGGAAAATAATAGTTTGGAATATTATTTATGAACCACATATTTATTTATGGCATGTTAGAAAGCATGTTTAATTAAACTAAATGTTTTATTTGGTTTGGAATATTGAAAAGAAATTTTATTATGGTTCATATAATTTTTATTGATGCCATAAGCATGAGAAAAAAGCTATATAATTGTCTATGTACACGAGGAATAAATTGTATGTTGGTACCTTACTGCACTTAAGGTGTTTTTAACACCGAGGGATAGGATTGATTTGCGGCATTTTATGCGTTTAAGGTGTCATTGGCATCAAGGTAGAATTAAAAAGGATTTAACATTAAATATTATTTGGTCACTAATTATTCAAGAATTAAATTGATATATTTGATTGTTTGAATAATTATTGTTGATTGAATTATTATGGTTTGAGGGTCATCACCAAGTTTAATAATCTGTAAATAACGTAAACTGAAAGAGATTACGCACCAAAACTCTTGGAACGTATACACCTTGAATGTGAACATACGGGGGGAGATATGTGACTTTATATTTGATAATAACTTCTACTATTTCGGCCATATCTTTTTATCTAAAAAAAATATTTTAATTTGATTCTAATTGGGTTGGAAATTCGACTTCAAGAGAATTCCAACGACATATTATATGCCTAATTTGGACTTCTGAATCAAAAGATATGGTTAAAAACAAAATCTATAAAAATTGTTGTCCATCGAGTTTTATTTCAATTCGGATTCTTTTCTTATTCTTTAACTCTCTTTTTTCCTATAAATAGAGGTCATATCTCCCCCTTTTCAATCAACTCTCATCAACTCTCATCAAGAATTTCTTGATTCTCTCTCTCTTTCTAGCCTAGCCTAGCCTTTTACAAACAAAATTCCTCATACATTAGCACTAGACACACCTAGCCAAGTTCAAAGTTGCCTTCGCCCTAGACGTGAAAGGTTTGGTATTTTTGAGGGTTTGGTCCCAAATATCTATTTCAATTATCTAATTTAATTGTTTGATTTTATTATTTTCCATGAAGTTAATAATGTGTGTATTTTGTTATTCGAAAGAGGTACGAGGCATCCAAGTAAGTACTTTAATTGTTTAATTGATATTTTGATATAGAAATCATGTTTAGGTTGTTATTTTTATTCCTAGTATCATGATAGGATGTTTTTCCTAGTATTATGTTTAGGGTGATTTGCTTATATCAATTATGATTTCTATGATGCTTCCTATTTTCTTTCCTAATATTCATGTTAGTATCATGTTACGGTTAAATCTTTGATTTTTATTGTTTAGTGACATGCTAGGGTTTGTTATTAATCTTGTTAGTATTATGATTATTATTATGTTGCTTGATGCTTATTTGTTGTTATTGCTTGATCACGCCTTTTATGCATGTTTAAAGGGAATTTAATTGTACTTGTAATCATGCTTAATAAGATAATTAATAATCTTGTTTAGGTTAATTTGATTATAATTCAAGTGATCGCCAATAATAGTTTTGTTTGTGCATTAATATTCAACCAACATAGATTAAACAGGTTTAGGGTAAACCTATTGATTGCATGTTAGTCAGAAAGCGCACATGATTACGAGAAGAATAAAGTAGAGGCCTATTATTAGGGCAGGTTCTTTCTCTTTTAGATTGGATTTGTACCTTCGTCCCCGAACTTCCAGTCTTGGTTCCAAACCTATTGGAGTTAACGATCTCCTAGATCGTTAAGGGTGTAACCTTCACCCTGTGAACAGTTTACAAGTTCCTAAAACTTGTTGGCGACTCTTTTCTCTAGATTCTTTCCCTTGGGACGCCACCATGCTTAAGTGTATGATCACATTGGGGTTCAAGTTTGGGGTAATGCTTGAAATATTCCCTACATAAGGGAATTATGAATATGGTATGGTGTATTGGTGTGTGTTTAACATGCTGATGGTTCCTTTCATCGATATCAATGATAATGTTTTCTTTGGCTCTATTGATCATTTTCTTTTTGTCTTGCTTGCTTGATGCATGATACTTTTATACTACTGCTTATCAAAATGAAAAAAAATAAAACTCATTCTCCTTTTCAATTGTGAGCCTAGGGCCATTTGGTCTTTTAGATGGAAGAAATAACAGAATTTAGGCGGAGTCTCTCACATGTTTTGGATGGCACATTGGATTGACACATAGTCACATATTTCTTAATATTCTGCTTTTCTAGAAATAATCTAATAATCTTTTACTAATGACTAATCCGTACAAGTATCATGTATGAGTTCCTAGATGTACAGTTAATGAAAAATGTTCAAATTTACAATCTTTTTGCATGCATCAGTGATCATATTAGGTAGATGTTAGGGTAGCTTGAATCATCTTGTGGATGAGTACGTGTGATCTTGAGTCAAGCTTGATTTGGGTCAAAATTTAACCAAGTTAATTGGTGCTTTGCTTGAGTTTAATGTTTAAATCAGGTCTATCCCCAACTTCCAAGTATCTCAGTCTAGCTTTATCATCAGTAGTAAACTGCTTTTGCTCTACAAATCTTACCTCTAAGTGCTCAATAGCAGTAAGCATTACAAAAGCTCTAAATTTATTTAACTAAGTAACTAACAAGTCACTACCATTATACTAGTAGCATGACATTTTTAGGAATGAGCAACTTATCATTACTATTTTGTTTCTTCATTGCTGCTTCACTTCCAAAAGATTTTACTTGTTTTGATTGAAGTAGAGGTAGATGGAGGACATGCTTTAGGTGTTTACTCTATGCGTTTGGTTAGGACCACTAGGCCATGATTTTTCTGTTTTAGATAGCATGTCGCTGCCTGCGTATATTGGACTAGTGGACATCACATAGTTTTTGCCATATATCACTCAGCATGTATAAAGTACTCCATACTAGCCAATTTGTCATCATTAATACCTCTGTTGCAGTAGATTGTTTGGCTATATGTTATATTTCCCTAAGAACTCTGTCTTTAGAGGAGCCTCACTTAGTCTTTACTAAGTACTTCAATCCTATGTGGTAGTTTTATACTTTTATGGAAGAGTATGTACTACTGATCCTTGAAATACTTACTTTTTTCATAATTTTTTTAATTTTTATTATGTGAATAATGCAAACAAGTTTATTAAAATGTAGGAACCATTGGGTACACTATGTCACTACAAAATAAACGAGCAAAGGCAATGGTTAAATGCAACGGTTAAAGCAAATGCAATGGCTTGATGCAACGGTTAATGTTAATGCAACCCCCTTTTTTTAGTAATGCAATGGTCATAAAATAGCTGTTGCACTAGGCTATCAAATGCAAGCACTTTTTAGGCTATTGCAACGGTCCTTGAAAACCCGTTGCATTAGTTATAATTTATATATATATGCGCGTTTTGGTACGGAAGACTATTATTTATTTTCCCTTTCTCGAAACTTCATTTCTTGAAAGTTCCGACAAAACCCTCGACACCTTTTTCAAAACTTCATTTCTCAAGTTCAATTTTTATTTTTTTTTAATCTTCTTTCTTGTGATGGTGATTGTGCAGTGATGAAGGTGTTCTCTGCATCTTATCAACTTTTGCGTCCTCAAATTCTAGTGTCCTCCATTGAAGCAACTTATGAGGTTTTTTCTTTTTCTCTTTTTTTTTCCTTTTTTTTAATAATTATTGTATTTCTATTTAACTATTTAATGGTAATCAGTATCCTTAATTTAACAATCAAGATAGCCAATTTAGGGTTTAATTTCATTTATTTGACAACCTTAGCTAATTTGGAGTTTGTCATTGATGTAATTATCAAACATAGTCAATTTAGGCATTTTATGAGTTCATCTAAATGTTGTATATCCATTCAAGCAACTTGGTGCTAATTCTTTTTCCTTTACTTAAAGGTTTTATTTATATAAATGAATAATTGTTTCAGATCTGGTTGTGTTTTTTAATTTTTTTTGTTGGAATTGTAGTATTGTTGAATTAAGGGTTTTCATGGGTTTTAATTAGGGGTTTTAATTTTATTTTAATGGTTGTTATTATTGGGATGTTAGTTCATTAATTGAGGTAGCAATTTAGTTATTATCTCTACTTGCAATATGAAAGAAGACTTCAAGATGTGTATATGCATCATCGGAATGAATATAGGGATAGAAATAAAATGATGTAGAGTTTTTGCTTGAATATTTTATACATCTTAATGAATGAAATGGAGATTGTTGAAATTTGGTATAAATTTGTATGAGCATTTATACTTCTTGAATGATGGTAGTAGGATAGAAAAAAATTGAGATTATTGTATTATATAATCAAAGTGAAAATTAGGATTCTTTAAAAAACTTGTGATTTATTCATAAATGAAAAAAAAAAATCAAAGTGGAAATTATGATACAATTATAAGATTGTGAATTACAGATGAAAAAAATGGTGAAAATTTTGATACATGCAATTAAATACTTGGATATGTATTAGTTTTAATATGAGGTCGTAGTTAAAGCAACTTGAGTTGTTGTATGGTGGAGTAGTTGGTTGTTGAGTGTGGGTTCTTGGGCTCTTGGATGTTCTTTATCTTCTTGTATTATTCTTTTTTTACTTTGGATTTCTATGGTGTTCTTTATCTGATCTAATGGTATGGTTCCATATACAAATATTAGTTTTCTATTACAGTAGCAACCTATGATACTTCTATGATCACTCTACAAGATTTGTTTTGCTCTGCATCATCAAGAAAATGGTACTTCTCTACTTCATTCTCTTTTACTTCTTGTTATTCTGGTAAATTTTTGTAAAGTTTTATTTTTAGACTTTTTATTGTTATGTTTTACTTTTGTTAGTTTTGAAACTACCTTTTTTCTTTTTTCTTTTTTTTTTTTTTTTTTGTGGGTTTGCTCAATTAAATACCAATTAGATAACTTAGATTTGACTTGGTAACTATGGACGTACCTTGATTATTTTTAGTTACATTGCAATGGTTTTTAGGGGTTGGTTTGCTTGTTTATGTAGTAGTCATGGGAAGAGTAAGATAATCTGATATATTGTTCCTACTTGCCTTGTCACAAAATAAAGAAACCAAAACCATCATTCAAGAAACTAGTATTTTTTTAGCATATCATTTTTGCAATTTGATTATAATATCTAGATTAAATGCATTCAACTTAAATGCATTAGATGGATGTAGTAGACTAGTGGGTATGTCAGGTTTGTGCAGCTATATACCAAGTATTGGCTAGGTGTCATTAGTGGCTTTATTTGCATTGATATTTCAAGCAGCAATACAAGATGATTTTAGTGCACTTATTGATCAAGTTGTTTATTTGAATTCTTGTACAGACCCATTGAGAAGCTTAGTATACTCCCATTACGAAGAAACACATGGGCATGGTAAGAAACAAGGCCTCTTACCTTTTAATTAGTTTCTATTTTTATATAAATTATTCTTATGAGATGAAAAGAACAAGGCCTATTACCTTTTAATTAGTTCCTATTTTTATATAAATTATTCTTATGAGATGAAAAGAACAAGGCCTCTATCATACCAATTAATTTCCATACTGAACTTATTAGTAGGGTGAGCAAGCCAGGCCAAATCTGAAAGGGTAGTGAATGAGATCTTTATGCTTATATTCATTTTTTTAAATGAATAGGCCATCGTAGGAAGAGATGGGGGGGGGGGCTTATATATTTATGCAAGATCATGTGTTTGGTCAGTGTCATTGTTCCTTGGAAAGTTCTATCTAATTAGTTGTACCGCTTGGCAGCTTGGGCATTTAAGTGGGACTAGTGCCACTCCAATGCTTCAAGTAGCTAGTTAGTTAGGCTATTCTGAATCTATCCCTTAATAGTAGTAATTCTCTAATAGCCTAATATAAATGTTAGTTCTCGGTGCGTAGGAGGATTGAATAAATAGTGGTTAAGTGATAGCGTATTTAACTATTTACAGTCAATGTTGAAAGAGAAGCTTCATGCTATTTGTCTATGAGAGTTTGATTGTTGTGTTGGGCTAAAGAATTTGGTTTAGCCATATAGTATGGTTATCATTTCCTCTCGATTTTAATTTAATGTTGCTCTAAATATTATTTAATATTTGTTTTATTTATTATGTAGTCTATGATGATAATATTCCTATTTTTTTTTTAAGAAATGAAAATATTTCTAATGTCATTTAATTTAAATGGTTTTTTTTGTTTTTTTTTTTTTTTGTTTTTTTTGTTTTTTTTGTTTTTTTTTTTTTTTTTTTTTTTTTTTTATAGGTACATGATGAACCACAATGAGTAGAGCAGCGAAATTGACAAGATTGTTGTGACACTCTTGATTGAGGATTGTCACCCTCGTACTTCTTAGTTTTAAGTTACTTTTTTTTTAACGGTAGTTTTAAATTACTTAATGAGCTTCTTTAGATAGATATATTAGGAGAATATATGATGCATTGTAAAGAAATGTATTTTGGCTTAGGAATTATTTCAATGCAGCATTAATTGCATATTATAATTAAATTAAATACTATATTTTTTTAATAAAAATGAAATGATTGTTATTCAATTTTGTTTACTCATTTGTATATTGAAGCTAATAATAATAATAATAATAATAATAATAATAATAAAATAATAATTATAATGATAACAATAATTAGAAGAAGAAGAAGAAGAAGAAGAAAGCGGTCCCAACAAAGGCAATAGGCGTTGCATTTGATCTAAATATGCATTGCATCAACTCTACTGCAACGATCTATGAGATTTATGATGACCGTTGCATTAGTTATATAAGATGTTGCATTAGGCCTTAATGCAACGGTTCATGATAGATAGTATATGACTGTTGCATTAGGTCAAAAGACCGTAGCATCAGACCTAATGCAACGGCCGCAAATGCTACGGTCCACCAACCGTTGCAGTAGGCCTGTAGCAAAGGTTTTTTGCCCTTATTGCAACAGTTTTTAGGGGTTGCATTTGCTCGTTTATGTAGTAGTGTGTGATTGATTTGCGTATGAGCCCTGTGTATGAGTCTGATTGTGTTATTCAATCATCTTTGAACGCTTGAAACTCAAAGTTGTCTAAAATAATGAAGTTGTTAGTACACAACATTCCTATTTAAATAGACTACGTACTCATATTCATTCATCTAATCTGATGCTTTTTATGATTTTTTTAGACCTTACAATGTACATAGATCACACGTCAAAGGAAATGCTTTCAAAATGAGTAAGCCACTATTGCTACACATAAGAATGGAGGTAAATGAATAATTCTTGCTTTTTCGTTCTATTAGTAATAATTAAATTACTATTTAACTAATTAAAGTATTGTACTATGTTTATTTGAATTAGTGTGCTCAACAATGTGGTGGTACCGAATGTGCTTATTATGTAAGGAGATGTATGAGATAGTATCTTTCCATAGCAAGTTCAAGGGTAATTTGAAAGAGGTTATTAATGAATTTACCCTTCTTTGCAAGCTAAAATGATTTATACGAGTTTTGGTTTATGTACTATTTTTATTAAGTATAATAGACACGTATATTTTTTTTTATATTTGCAAGAGTATTTGGTAAGACTTGTAGCCTATAACGATGTAGAATTGGATAAGATTAGAGAACAATGGGCTAAGTTTTTTAGACTTAATTTTTTGTTGAAAGAATAGTTATCTTATTAATTGATGTTATGATTAACCGCATTTAGCTCAATAAAACAATATAACACATTTCTATATATCTACTTTTATTTAGCCCATTGTTTATTGTTATTACATTTCTAAGTTATAAATAAATTAATTTTTTTATTCAAGTTTAATGTTTTTTTTTTTTTTGAAAGTATAATTAATTTTGTTGTATTGTATTGTTGTGGATGAATTCAAGTTGTGTGGAATTATTTAGATTGTTTGTATTCTATGTTGTGGGTGAATTTAAGTTATATGGAAGTATTCGGAGTATGTCGCATATTTTGTTGGTTGAATTGTAATAGGTTGTACCCTATTTGACAATGGATCGTTTGGTAGGATATACTACCATTCTTGTATTAATTGAATAAAATATTTATATAAAAAAATTATTTATTTATTAGTAACTAGCGTAATCTTATGCTAGTTACTAATATTACTTTTTTAAAATAAAAAAAAAATATATATTCGTAACCGGCGTTAATATTTGCAAGTTACTAATTATACCCTAATTGTAACCGGCATAACTTAATGCCAGTTACGAATAGTATACTTTCTAACTTGGAAAAAAAACTTTTTGTAACTAGCGCTAGGTTAACCGACGCTGGGCAGTATACTGCACAGCCAGTGTAGGGAAGATGAAGCCCTCCCACAGCCGAAATTGAACTTCAGGCTCCTACAAAACGAACATCTATCAGTTCAAATCCTACAAAGGGTAATATAAACACAAAGTGTTAAGAAGCATACCGAGAGAAGTGACTCTCGAACACAAACAATAGTTGTCTGGTCGTTTATACGACCTCCCCAACTGGCAGCAATGGGGAACCCACGGGGCAAAGGCCTCGCAGGTGAAAAAGAAGAGAAATACTTGTAGAACCAGACCCATGAGACAGGATGAAGTGTCAACAAAAGCTAAACAAAAAACTTAAAACAAGCGTTGGTTAAAAAGAATATACCTCTACGATTCCCCAGAAACTGGAAAGAGTGACCTCCCCCTCATAACTGCGATGGCGACAAGCGAGTCGCAATCCAAGCAGGAAGTCAGCGTAGACCAAGCTGGCCCTATCATATGATCCGACCATACGTAGATCACGGAGAGCAGGCATGTACTAGGGTTGCACAGGTTACCCTTGTCAGGGGAGAAGGTCCTTGACAAAACGATCAAAGAAAAGATGAGTAACCGCTGCTCAAGGGTAGTCGCACCGTCCTTAAAGGTGATGAATCATATTTATATAAGGTTCTTAGGCACGTTTATGTTAGTTTTTATACCCTTTTTTTTAGTCTTTTTGGTCGATTTTAGGGTCATATTTGCATAAGTCATCATATATAGCTCTACTACGCTCCTTTTGTGTACTTCTTAATGTTTCAGGTGATTTCATAGTCATTTGGACGCTTTCGAAGTGTTTAGACATGATTCGAATGATGTTTGAATGGAAATAGATGGATCGAGTTCATTGACTGAGGGATTTATGCTCATGGATGTTGTCTCTAAGGATTATATGCATGGGAATTGAAAATAGCTTCCACTAGGATCGATATGAACTTTTCGGAATTGAATTTGAGTTAGAAACAAAGGAAAACGAAGGCTTGCAAAGTATCAAAAAGGACCTTTGTGCATTGTTTCAGCCATATCAAAAAGTATCATGGTTTAGCCGCGCACACGACCCCTCGAATCTGCCTAGGCCGCTGGAAAACCATCGGGCGATGGTCGAGCGTCAACTTTGTCGCAGCCTACAGCCACTCGACCATCGGCCATCCATCGGGCAATGGGTCTGGCGTGCGGGAATTTTGATTTCCGTCGATTGTAATTCTTGCGACCAATTAAAAGACGACCTTTGTTATTTTTATTTCCTTATTTTATTTTACTTAGGATTAGGCTTTAAAATATATACTTGAGAGGATTTTATTTTCCTCTTGGATGCTTTATTTTTCTAGATTAAACGCTTCTTAGTTTTTTTTTCTCTCCATTGTTGAACCCTAGCTTTTCATTCTCCATTAATTCAATCATTGAGGTATTTTCATTCAATCTTTTGTTCTTTATTTATTTTATTAATAATGAATTCAAGTTTATTTATTTCTTTTGTTTTGTTTATTTCAATTATGAGTGAGTAGTCGTTTTCTAGGGTTAAGTGAGGGAAGCCATGTTTATACCATGATTATTTGTGCTTAATTATTTATAAATTTATGAATTAGAGTTTGAATAATTCAAATTGATTTGTGCTTTATCGTTTGAAACATGTAATTGGCCATATCACGAGTTAATTATTTATCTAATAAAAATTAGAATTGAAAGATCATAATTTTAGAGGCTTAATTACAATTGGCGAATTTGATTATGTTAGCGACCGAACTACATATGTTAATTCGCAAGTGTTAATTCCCGACAGTAGGATTAACAAGTGCTTTAATTATTCGACCTAGTGACAGACTCAAGTCATATTCACCTAATCAAAAATAAAACCTAAATCCACTAACTATGTAGATAGGGAAGAAGGGTCGAACTGCAGGGAAACAATTAAGTCAATTTATTCCTAGTTAGATAAAAGCAATCTAAATTACCATGTAACCAAATTGTTGTAAAGAGGTAATTAAACTACTAAAAGGTAAGAGTAGGAAGAGAATAAAATAAGAGATAAATCAATGAAGGGGAAACCTAGGGCATAGGTTCACTAATAAACAATATTCCAGGGCAAATCATAATAAGCAATCATCAATGCATCAATTAATCAGATTATAAAGGGCTTTCGCTACGTATTACAATCACAGAGTTAATTTACCGGTATTAAATCTCATCTCTCGAATCTCGACTTAACCATTTATAAATTAGTCCACCTATTGAAACTAAGCCTAAATATCAATTCTCATCTCTCGAATCCCGAATCAATATTGCTAAACTCATACAATTAAATCTGGCCAAACCTAATTGCATAGCATTAAATCAATCAATAGGAAATTCATCAAGCTTTAATAATCAACAATCACAAATTACCCCTTCATATTATTTATTAGATCCCCATAAACCCTATAAATAAAACTATTCAAACATAATTAAATCTAAATTAATCAAAATAATAAAATAAAACATGATGAAAGAATTAAAGAAAATAATTGAAATTAAAAGAGAAGAAATTGTTACCAAAAGAAATCTGGATTAAGAAATGGAATTAAGAACAAAGTTGAGAGAATTTAAGAGAGAGAAAATATTCTAAGTAGAGAGAGAAAGTCTAAAAGAGAAAGTAATCAAAATTACGTACAAAAATCGTACTTAAACATCCCTAAAACAAGTCCTAATTGGAAACTAATTACTCGGCTCCAAAAACACACGCCCGATCAGGCAAAGGGCCGCTCGATCGGGCCCGCCTTTTTTCCTTTACTCTTCCTGGGCAGCCGTGCCCGATCGAGCTTACGCTCACCCGATCGGGCGCGCTTTCTTTCTGATGCTCTCATATGCGCGCCCGCCCGATCGGCCGCAAACTTGCCCGATCGGGCCCGGTCTCTTCTTTGAGTTGAGGCTTGGACTTCGATTGGGCTCGATTCTTCGCCCCAATCAGGATTTCCTCTTAGGGTCTTGAATACTCGGTCCAAATGCCTCGGTATCACACACCAAGCCTTTAATCACCGGCTTTAACCGGTCCTGGGCTTCAAAGACGCTCTGTCCTCCTAATGCTCATAGTTGCTTCATGAAAAACCCGGAAAACACTCTAAATGTGCAATTTCCTACAAAACTCAAGCAAAATTAAAAAGACAATAGAAAGCACTAATTAGTAATAAAAGTGGCTCTAAAGAGCCAAAAACACTACTAATTATGACCAAGGGACGGGGGTAAAACACTATATAAATTGGA